TTAGGTGCAACCACACTGGGTGCTTGGGATCCTAGTGTGCAACTAAGCCTTTCTCAGGGTAAGCTTTTAAGCACAAAAATCATATTCTACCCATAATATGATTTTTTTTTTGTTAACTGACACACTTCAGTTAACAAAAACAGTTTTATGTACTGAGTGGTACTTCCTGTAGTGGAAAGCCAGCTGTATTGCTCTTTTTAAAACTCTGCTTTGTTTGGGGTGTTTAGGCCTCTACCTCCCTTTCACAAACTCCCCAACCTTAAATAGGAGAAAGAAAGGTTAGTGGGGAGAGGGGGCCCAGGCCCCTTTACTTCTCCCTGCTAGTTAGGGTCACGGTGTTCTTCAAGGGCTCTGTACCAATCTCCATCAACTGCAGACGCAGCCAGCAGGCTCCTCCACACCACTGGGCCCCGAAGCGTCTGTCTGCTCCAAACCGCCACACGCCAACACCAAACAGCACACAGAACATCTCCTGGTCTCTTTCTCAGCCTCATATTTACAATCTCAGAGTCCTAGACCACACCCCTCTCCATGTTGCATGCGGAAGGCGGTTCACAGCTGCCAAAAGCCATGCTCCACATGTGACAATTAACAGGTGTGGACAAATTATATCCCAACTAAAATCCCACACATGGTTAAAGCAAAAGTATAATTTCCATAGCATAAAAAGAAACCAAAACTTCCATTACAACTTTGATCATGGAGACAGCTGTGCTAAGGTCTGGGGCCTGCTTACCAGTACTGGGTGGTATTAAAGGTAGGTATCACCAAGCGCAGCCCTTAGCCTTTTTTCCGAGATCTGAATATGCCTGTTATTCTTTGTCTTAGTTTCTATTCTATTGCTATAAAGAAGAACCATGACCAAGAAAACTTATCAAAGGAATCATTTAATTAGGAGCTCACTTACAGTTGCAGAGAATTAATCTGTGACCATGACAAAGGGAAGAATGGCAGCAGGCTCTGTGCTGGAGCAATAGCTGAGAGCTTCCGTCCTCATCCACAAGGCAGAGTAGAGAGACTAGGCAGGGCTTCCGAAACCTCAAAGCCCACCCTCCGTTACACACTTCCTTTAGCCAGGCTACACTTCCTAACCCTCCCTTTACAGTTCATTAACTAGGGACTAAACATTTAAATAGGTGAACCTATGGGGCCACTCTTACCACACAGCACACTCCATATTGTTTAAGTAGTGATTTTCAGCCTGTGCCTTGCCCTGGGTGGTTCAATTTACAAGCAGCATTTCCTCAATTTTTAGGACCATGTCCTGAATCATCTCCTAGCAATTATCCAAAGGCCCTCATGAGGATGGTTAAAAGGCACTGTCTCAGCCAGGCGCAGTGACACAGGCCTGTAATCCCTCCCAGTACTGGGGAGGCAGAGGCAAGTGGATCTCTGTGAGTTCAAGGTCATCCCGGTCTACAAAGAGAGTCAGGACAGCCAAGGCTATACTGAGAAACCCTGTCTCAAAGAAAAAGAAAAAAAAAGAAGAAAGAAAAAAAGAAAGAAAGGAAGGAAGTAAGGAAGGAAGGAAGGAAGGAAGGAAGGGAAAGAAAGAAAGGAAGAAAGAGAAAAATAAAAACGAAAGACAGCTGTCTCAACTCTCCAGCTCCTCCAGTTGCTTGATCTGGGGAAATAAAAGGGAAGCTGCCCTTTAATTCAAAGCTTCTTAAACTGTGGGTCCCCACAAGAGGTCATGTAACTGAAAATGGAGGAGTGAAAAGTCTAACAGTAGTAAGAGGTTCATAAACAGGCAATGACTAACGAGTGCAGAGCTCACTTAGGCTGCATTGTGCAAGTCCCAGAAGCCCGGGTTCCACCACAGGCACACTTTACACTGTGCATGCCATCATACCAAGTGACACCACGAGCTGGCACTGCCTAGAACACCCCAGCTCAGAGATGAGAACAGTGGATTCTATGAGCTGCAGTGTTCGTAGTGTACATACAGGTTTCTGCTTTTAATTACAGAAAGCCAGGACACTTAATATTTTCCTACATTGTCAAATTAGTAAGCTAAAGCCTAAAGGACTGTATCGTCATGATCATTTAAAAAACTGCTAGTTGATCCAGGCAAGGTAGCAAGTGCTTGTAATCCCAGCACTTGGGAGGGCAGAAAGAGGCAGGAGGATCAGGAGTTCAAGGTCAAGGTCAGTCATGGCAGAACATCAAATTCAAAGCCAGCCAGGGATACATGAGCCCAGTCTCAAAACAAAACAAAACTAAACAAAAATGTTGCATAATCCTAGAATGTGGGAAGTAGAGACAGGTGGAGTTCTCTGAGTTCCAGGCCAGCCAGGGCTACATACTGAGATACTATGTTGAAAAAAAAAAAATCGTGTAAGTTGATGACTTGAGTTTCATTAAAAAAAAAACAATCATTACAGGCATAGAAAGATGACTCAGAGGTCAAGAGCACTGGCTGCACTTCCAAAGGTCCTGAGTTCAATTCCCAGCAACCAGATGGTGGCTCACAATCATCTATAATGAGATCTGGTGCCCTCTTCTGGTGTGCAGGTGCACATGCAGGCAGTGAAAGGGTTAGACTAACTTTGCAACCTGTATGTCTTCTAAAGCCTATAGTTTTGAGTTTTAGGTCCAGGTTAAGCTAAAGCCTCTTAGTGCCTTTCCAGAGAACGGAGGAATGTGACCCTATCTATGAGGACAGATAGAAAAAAAAAAAAAAAGTGAGCAAGCAATGACCTTCACTCAGCAAAAAGAAGGACCAGACCCTTGTCTTTGAGATAGTGTTTCTTAGCAACCAACCCAGATGGCCTCATTCCTTCTTCTGAGTAGCTCCAGACGTCCAGCCAAAAGTCCGCAGCCCCTAATCTTCAAGGATGAGCTAACCACCCCCACCTTCAATTGCAGCTGCATCTGCACTTGGCAGGACTGGCCAAGCTTGAGCACCTAAGACTAACCAATTATCTTACTTTATAGCTTCCTCATCCAATCCTAAATTGCCAAGACTACAACTTCAAATCTCCCGCAATTTTTCTTTTAAAAACCTAAAGGCCTTTGTCTCCCAGTGCCACTCTTTGCTGACCGGCAGGGGTGACCCCATTGAGCAATGGTTAATAAACCTCTTGCTTTTGCAACGAGTCGTGGTCTGTGGGGTTTCTGGGAAGGGTGCAATCTTGAATTCCTGAGCTGTGAGACCCCAGGTCTTATAGCAGAACACTGTATACATGATAAATGTTTAAAAAAATCATTACATTTGACTTGTGATTAGGTCAAAATTTCCAACTGATATGGTTCTAAACATATTTGAATTAAAATCAAATATACTTTGATTTTAATAAAATCAAAATATCAACTCTGAAAAATGCTAAAGATACTATATGTTTGGCAGTAACAAATATTCAGCCAAGATTATTGATTTTTGTAAAAATAAACAAGCACACTCATAAGCCAGTTTGCTTTCATTTTTTAAGTGGTAAAATTGCATGTATATCAAAGAATTGTTTTTATTTGTTTATTGACTCTACATAGGCTTGGTTGTCCTAGAAGTAGAGCAGTTTGACTTCTGCCCTCCCAACAAAGAATCATTTTAACTTTAGGTTGAATATCAGTAAATGCTTGATTTGCATATGAAGTATTTTCCAGCGGAAAAGATTTAAGAAGCTTCACATACAGTATTCTATCTGCATGTACACCGCATGTCTGAAGAGGGCACCAGATCTTATAGATTGTTATGAGCTACCACGTGGTTGCCTGGAAATTGAACTCAGGACCTTTAGGGGAAACAGCCAGTGCTCTTAACCTTTGAGCCATCTCTCCAGCCCAAAAAGCTCCATATTAACTCATTTCCTTTTTTAAAAACTCATTCCTGGTGGAGATTGGAAACTTTTCTGGCTTTCACAGAAGCAAGAAAACAACTGAAGGTTTGACAAATGGTAAAGCTTTGCGGGTGGATCAGCAGCTGAGGCAAGGCACAGCTTCAAACCTTCCCACAAAATGACCTTCAGGGGTAAAAGCAGCTAGGCAGGCTCAGGCAGCTAGTGGCTACAAGGGGCACCCAAGCACTAGAGTAGCCTGCGGCCTGAAGGCAGGACCTCTGAGGCTGCTCCTGTGGTCTTGGCCGTGTTCCGCATCAAATGCTATTAGCTGGCATCGTCCCACAGTGTAAGTTTCTGCCTCCTCTGAATTTGACTTTCTAGTTAGACTTTAGGGTGAAATCAAAACCCTGGTATTGGGAAAACCAGGACTGACCCCACCACCACCTCACGTTACCAGCCCCAGGAACTAGGCCACAGGTCACCAATTCCACAAACAAATCCATAAAATTCCCCTACCCACGGAATAGCCTGGGGGTAACCACAGGAATTGGGGAGGTGTCTTATCTTAGGGAGGGGCATCTGTGCTGGGCAGCCCACAGGCCTTGTAGTAGTACTTTCCTGGCACGGAAACACCTAACATTCCTGAGGTCTATAGATAGTTTGCTCAGTGTTGGTTAGCCTCAATCACTGTGTAACAAGCTTGCCCTTGCTGAATGTCACCCAATCCTGTAACTAAACTGGCATTTCCTGAACTGTGCTGTAACCCTAAATAAAAATCCCTGTCTCCCTGAGCTTGGGGCTCAACGCTGGAGAACCGCTCTGTCAGTGTTGGGGATGGTGTGGGCCGGAGCTCGAGCTTGTAATAAAGACCCGACTGCGTTGGCATCGGAATCTGCTCCTTGATCGTCTTTGCTTTCCAAGACTTGGGTACAGCAGTTTCACTTAGAGGTCGGCACCTTCGTGGGCCCTCCCCTCTAGATGTCAGTGGAAGGCTCCAGGATGGACCAACAGGCGACAACGGGAGGCCACCGGCCGGTGCTGAGGCCCCGCTCGCCCGTCCCCCGCTCGCCCGTCCCCCGCGGTTTGTGGCGAAACTGCACTGCAGACGGTGCGGTCGCCCCGCCGGGCCGGTGGACAAGGGCCTGGGAGGAGGCCGCGTGTGCCCGCGGGGGGCGCTGCTTAGGCGAGTCCTCGGCGGCGCGCAGTCACCGCAGATGAGCTTCCGCAGAGGCGCGTAGGCACTTCCTGTGCGTCACGTCCGGCTCCCGCCCGCCCCCGGGTGTCCGAGCTCGGAGAGCCTGAGCTTCGCTGCTGGCGGGCCGCCAGAGGCTGGCAGCGCTCCCCCGTGCTGCGGACCGCTCGCTGAGGCCGCTCCGCCCGGGTCAGCGGCGGGGCACCTGGCCGTGCCGTCCGTGGGCGTGGGCGGCCCGCACTGAGTAAACTCCGTTGCAGCCCGCAGCTGAGGCGGGTCGGGGACTGGATCGCCTCGCCCTGCAGGCAGCCCGGGGTTGGCACCGGCGCTCAGGTGGCCGACTTCCCGGGGCTGGACGCGCAGGTAGGGTGGTGCAGACAGAGCGATGGGCAGCGGCGCGATCGCGGGCGGGCTGTGACCGCGCTAGGTGCCGGGAAGGAGGCGCCGCCCCCCGTGGCAGGTGCAGGCGCCCTGTCAGCTGGCGGTGCCTGACCCCGGCTCCCTTAGCATGTTAGTCTGTGCTGGGCAGTGGACGGCTCAGCCAGCTCCCACGCCGCAACTTCACTTTGGCCAGCTGGTCGTCTTTTCCTCAAGCGGTTCTTTTCTGGCATAAAACAGTTTCGCTGCAACATTGATGGTTGGAGTCCTTGAAACGTGGAAAAGAGTAAAACAAAAAAGCAAAACACAGTTTAGAGGTGGGTTCCTTGTTCAATGGCCGTTTTTTGTTGTTGTTGAGCCCCCCTATCTCCCATGGGATGAACATATTCTATTAAGCATTCTTTCTGAGACAAGGTCTTACAGGGTTGCCCAGGCTGGCCTTAAACTTGTGACCCTCCCTCAGCCTGTCAGCACTGGGATTACGGGACTGCGCTACCAGTATCCCAGGCTGCAAGGCACATTTGAAAGGAGAATGAAAGAGTTTTAAATAGCAAGGGAAGACCCATTGAATGAAGAGAGAGGAAGGCTTTTCATTAAAGTGGTTCTTTGCCAGTGTAGACAGATGATGGAGAGCTGGAGAACATATGTCCACCATGTGGAGGTGCTGTGGCTGGAATGGTGGACGGCCTCAACTATTTACGCCTTTAATCTGAGCATGCCACACAAAAAGTCCTCAAAGTATCCATTCTTCAAAAGGGATAAATACTGTCTTACAGCCACAGAGCTGCACTGTGTCACTTCAGTCAGGAGTGACTTGCCCTCAATACAAATTCTTCCTTACTGCGTGGTCCAGGGCTTCTAGCGTCAGTGTTAGAAGCAAGATGGAAGGGGGCTGGAGAGATGTCTCAGTGGTTAAGAGCACTCACTGGCTGCTCTTCCAGAGAACCCAAATTCAATTCCCGCACCTACATGGCAGCTCACAACTGTCTGTAGCTCCAGTTCCAGGAGCTCCAAGGCCTTCACACAGAGAGATATGCAAGGAAAACACCAATGCATATAAAATAAAAAATAAATACATTTCAAAAAGAGAAGCAAAATGGGGTGGACAGATTGTGAGTCCTAGAAGGCCCCTTTCTGGGTTATTTCCCTGAAATTAACTCTCAGACGTGCATAGCGTTTGTAGGCTTGATATGTTTTCTCTAAATCACCACTACCAATCCAGATGTCTTGGCCATGTTATTTGAGGACATCCACAGTCCTCTTTTTCAGAAAGGATATTCCATTCCTTCTACTCCTAGTCTCCCCTTTTTTGTCCCTCCATTTTGTGTTGGAGATTGAACCTAGGCTTTTCTTTAAAAAAAAAAAAAAAAAAAAAAAGATTTTATTTATTTATTTTACGTATAGGAGTGTGCCATCTGCGTATACACCTGCATGACAGAAGAGGGCACCAGATCTCATTATAGATGGCTGTGAGGCACCATGTTCCTGGAAATTGAACTCAGGACCTCTGGAAGGGCTGACAGTGCTCTTAACCTCTGAGCCATCTCTCCAGCCCCTGAACCTAGGGCTTTGATGCTAGGCTGGCCCTCTATGAGTGGGCTACATCCTCCACTAAGGACAAGCTTTCTAATCAAGTTATGGATGAGCATATATGTCATGGCATATATGTGGAGGTGGATTGTCAGAAAGTTCCTTTACCGCATGAGCCGTCACACCAGCCCAGGAACAGACATTGTTAAACTAGGGGTTTATGGAACTAAAATATGGAAAAATTTAACGTTGAGTGGGATAAAAATGACATCGTGAACCAGGCACGGTGGTGTATGCCTTGATTCTAGCATCCTGGACGCTGATACAGGAAAACACACATTCAAGGCCAGCCTAGCGATCCTTTAAGATCCTGCCTCAAAATCATCATCATGTCCCTCCTCATCATCTCACTAGCGTTTTGGCTGAGATGAGGGACTGTTGGTTCTTGTAGTGTTGACTTCACATCTTTGCTGCTGGCCTAGAGTGCTGTGTGGTTTGTTTTGCTTTCAGCTCTGTACCGTTTATGACAGAGGCTAGAGTAGAAGCTCATGAGCTAAGCCTGCCCAGCAAGGGAATCTTTTGTTTATTTTCATCTTAAGACAAGGTTTCTCTGTGTGGCTGTGGCTGTCCTGGAACTTGTTTTGTAGACCAGGCTGGCCTCCAATTCAGAGATCCCCCTGTCTCTGGGTCTTGAGTACTAGGATTAAAGGTGCCACCACTGCCTGGCCACCAAAGGAGTCTTATTAGGCCAGTTGAAGGGAAATTTAGCTTAATTTTTAACCTTTTCTTCTGGATGTACTTTATAATCTGAGAGGGACATGGTGATCCAGACCTTTACAGCCAGCGACAGGGTAGGGCGGCTGTTGCTGGAAACACAAGTTCAAGTTCAGCAGTTCTAACTGGCCTCCAGGCCCATGTAGGTCAGATCATCTGTGGGTTCTTAAATGCCAGATCTCTGCTGACCTTCAGCTTTGTGGAGGCTAAGACTTCTTATCTCTGTAATTGATATGAAGTGTGGGCTATGAACTGTGAGGCGGCCCAGGACTGGATGAGTCACACTCCGCCAGGCTTAGAGCTTCAGGAGCTTATCCATGTGATTATTTTGATAGCCATCAAGTAATCTTTAATTTTATGTGGATGAGTGTTTGCACTCTGTGCATGCCTGGAGCCCTCTGAGACAAGACGAGAACATTGGATCCCCTGGAACTGGAGCTACAGATTGTTGTGAGCCACACTGTGGGTGCTGGGAATCAAACCTCTGGAAAATCAGCTAGTGCTCTTAACTACTGAGCCATCTGTAGTTCCAAATGATACTCTGATCCTACACAGAGCCCATAACTAACTTTATATTTTTATTCTACTGACACTTGTTCTGTCCCCATTCCCTCTGGATTGGTAACTGTCTTCTGTGCCTTTGCAGGGTGAGGGAAGACTCGTTTATTGAGAACCTTGCATGGGAGTGGGAGCTGGGCTGTAGCCTGAGTGCTGCCTACATCTGATACTGTCTTCACTACTGAATCTGGCTGCCATTATCCACATTATTTACTGTTCAGTCTGCAGTTCCTGAGCCCTGATTCTACAAGACCAACACGGCTGTACTTTGTGCTTAGTGTGAGAGCCCTTCCAGCTTTCGCCCTGAAACAGGTAACTGCTCAGAGGTTTCTTCTATTAGTATGATCATGTGCTCATCATCATCATCATTTTTAATAATGTATAGGTGTTTTTCTGCATATATATCTGTGCACTATTTGAGTGCCTAGGGCCAGAGGAGGATACTGAAACTGAATCTCCTGAATTACAGGCTCTGAGCTGCTGTGTGATTGCTTGGAATTGAACCTGGGTCTTCTGGAAGAATAGCCAGTGTTCTTACCCATTGCAGTGATGTTTTTGTGCACTGTGCAAAGAACACCCTTATTCAAATGCTGGTTTCCGTGCCTGCCCTTGCTCCGAATGATGACATGGAGACCTGTTGAATTTATTAAAAGCTTCAGGCGCTGTAGCTGGGCAGGTACTCAAGGTTCTAACCCACCTTCCCAATAGTGGCCTGCCCTCCTTCCCAGCTGTGAGCCCCTTGCTTGTCCAGGTGGCCACTTTGCCTCTCTCCTTGGTCCCCACCTGGAATCCCTTCCCTGGGCTTGGAAGTCCCACCTTATCCTCTCCTGCCCAGCTATTGGCTGTTCAGCTCTTTATTTGACCAATCAGAAGGTGATGGAGAACAATGCTTATAAAACATTGAGACAGGAGACGCTTCATGAAAATGACAGTGCTGTGGGATGCAGTGGTTCATGCCTGTAATCCCAGCACTCGGGAGGCAGAGACAGCTGGACCTCTGTGAGTTTGAGGCCAGCCTGGTCTACAAAGTGAGTCCAAGCAGCATTTATATATATGCTAATGACAGTGCCAAAGTCTGGCTTGTATTCAGATCTGCACTGGCACAGAAATCAGCATTTGAATATACGAAGACAATCTTTACACGGTTCACAAAATATCTCTCCAGCATCTCCCTCTTTTAGTTCAATAAAAGACTCTTTCTCCAATACCAATAAACTATATACAGTAAGAACAATTATGAAAACCATTAAGTAAGAATTACATTCACGGGCTGGAGAGATGGCTTGGAGGATAAGAGCTCTGACTGCTCTTCCAGAGCTCCTGAGTTCAATTCCCTGCAACCACGTGGTGGCTCTCAACCACCTAGGATGAGATCTGGTGCCCTCTTATGGTGTGAAGCCATACATGCACACAGAATATTGTACACATAATAAATAAATAAATCTTAAAAAAAAAAAATACATTCACAGTGTCTAGCCCATTTGTATTTGGCAACCTTGGAGAAAGTACTCTACTATCTGTTTTGCCTTGGTGAGTCCAAAGTTCTGTACCTAAATTAACTATCTTTTCAGACCTTAAAACATTTTCTGAAACCCTAAACAACTTTCCGTTTAGTTGTGAGACTGTAACTGTGTAGTCTTCAGCCCAGTCAGAGACCTGAGAAGGGTAACTACTACCTGGGTAGACAGGAGGCGTAGAGCAAGTAGCTTCCACAACTGCAGAAATGACAGGGACAGTGGCTGGCTGGACAGTGACCCAAGTTCCTCGGCAACACTGGGGCATCATACTTGGCCTTCTGGCTCAGCATATGACAGACTTGAGCAGGAATTGTGAAGGACTGCCTGCCTTGTCTTGGCAAAGCTTGGCAGTTGACTTCTTCTGTGTCCTGCTTGTACATGGCTTGGATATCTTGCTTCTCTGCAGTTGAGGCAAGGGCAGTATTTTGCCTGGTGGCAGTTTGCCACACTTGGAGCAAACACCATGCCCATCCTTGAAGTAGAATGGGGGAGCTGCCAGGAGTTGCCATGACTCACTGTAAAAAAAAAAAAAAAAAAAAAAGCCTTTTATTAATAAAACATCTTTAAATGCCATATTCTGTAGATCTCTGAAGATTTTGAAGACCATCTATAGTATATCTGAATAGGCAAGCACTGCTTGTTTCTAGCTGTTTACTATGATCTGTTTAACTTTGAAAATATTTGCAGGAAACTAAATAAAGGTTATTTCTGTAATTAACTAAAGTAGTACCTAACAAGGCCACAAGTTGACTTATTACTAACCTGTGTTTCTTACTTACCTTAAACAGTTTGTAATAGTAGCTTTCAAAAACTAGACCTTTCCATTACGTTTTTAAATGAGTTGCATAGGTATGATACCTTAAACAAGAGTTGAAACATATATATTTGTGTGTGTATATATATAATTATGTCAAAGCAAACTATAACCTTAAATTTGTATCAATATACAAAAATGTATACCAATGTAAATTATTTGAGATTAGTAGTTATTAGTTTAAAAGTAGATTCAATAATCTACCTTTTACCCTATCATTCTCGTTAACACCTCCTTCTCTTTTCATCCCTTCTCTACCTTGTTCTCCCTAGCACTAGGTAGGAGAGAAAAGAGGATAGAGGAAAGGAAAAGAAAGAGAGAAATCCCTTAATCTAACCTCCTTTACTTTGTTTCCTCCCTGACCAAGACCATTAACAGCTTGTGACCGACCACAGTAACCAACTACAAACATTCATAACCTATAGAATGACCAAAATCACCCACCCAGCCCCTCTTGGGAATGTTGTTCTCTTAAAACTACTTCCTGCTCATTAGGGGCATCTTTTGGAGGCCCCAATAAAACTGGGATAATGATCAAGTCCTAAGAACGCTAGTGTTCCATTTGCTGATGGGAAAGTGCAGGGTTCACTGAAGTCTGAGCTGGAACAGTCTGTGAGGCTGGATCACCTAGGCCACTTGTCTTTCTTGCCTTCTTAAATCCCGAGTGCTGGGATTACAGGCATGTGCCACTGATCCTGGCTCTAACAGGATAGCCCTGTCTAGCTTGAAACTCATTATGCAGAATAGGCTAACCTTGAACTCACAGATCTATCTCCTTCTGCCTCCCAAGTGTTAGGATTAAAGGTGCATAACTACTATGGCTAGAAACTTTTTCTTTATTTTATTTTTATTATTTTTAAGTTATGTGTGGGTATGTGTCTTAGTTTTCTATTGCTGTAAAGAGAGACATGCCCAAGGCAATTTCTCTAGCCCCTGCTTGAATCTTCTAAAAGGCACCCCAGCACTAGCCACAACCTAATCAAGCATTATTACAGGTGGGCCAGGACATATACAGGAGAGTGGGGCCAGCCTCTCCTTGCTGTGTCCCTCTTGTCCCAGCGCTCTGGGAAATGATGCATTTGCTTACAGTATGGAATATATTTGGCCTTTGTCCCTTGTTCCTTTCACAGTTCTCAAAATCTTAGAATTTCCTGGGCAAAGGGAGCGTATTGGCTAGGGCTCATGATGCACTCCTGTGGAAGGAGGATTAGTTCAGGTCATCCTTTGCTGCATAAGTGAGTTCAAAAGCCAGCTTGGGCTACATAAGATCCTAAAAAAAAAAAAAAAAAAGACCTAGGGTGGTGATATGGTGATATATATCAGTGGTAGATTTTTTTGTAACATGTTCAGTGTAGATAGATAGATAGATAGATAGATAGATAGATAGATAGATAGATAGATGGATGGATGGATGGATGTTGATAGGTACATATATTGATAAATATACATACATCAGTACTTTCTTCCTTCCCTCTTCCCTCCCTTCCTTCCTTCCTTTCTTTCTTGGATGGTGGTGGGAGAGTTGAAGCAGTTCTACGTTTCCCAAGCTGGCCTCAAATTTAGGTTCCTACGACCTTAGCCTACAGAACTGCGCCACTGTCCCTACTTACACTGACCCTTGAAAGGTCAGGTCTAAACAACTGACAGATGGATCTCTTTGCGTTTGCACTGTCAGGTACTTCTGACTAGTGGAGTGAACAAAACCTCCTCTGTGTCTCAGTGGTGCGGGGTGGGGCTTCTCTTAGTTTCTCCTTTCTTGGCTGCCCTTGGATGATCAAAGGACCTGAAACTTGAAGTTTCTTTGAGGTTCTGTGACTTCACTGCTGGGAATATTAGGCCTCTTCTTTTTGCCTGCTGTTTGTAGATCCTTGGTCTTCATCTGAGTCCAGAATTGGTGGTAGAAACTTGTACTGCTTGGTTCAGTGAGAGATGCCTTCAAGGGGAGATTAGGCTCCTGTGACATTGGCTGTGACAATGTGCACATGGGGAGTTTAGATGTTTTATGGTACTAATGTTGTGTAGTGAGGAAGGAGACAGGGAGAACTCTGTGGGCAGAAAAACAGACATGGCTGGAAGGTCTTAGACAGTCCAGGAGAAAGTAGGTGTGAAGTCTTACGATGATGAATGTGTGCACATGCCGTGATGACTGTCTCCACTCCCGAGGGCAAGCCAGCAAAAGCTCTGGAGAGGAGGAATGGATGCTCTGAGCACCTCAGCCTGAGTGCTGGTTAGAGGATGCACACACTGGTCTGTAAACTGTTGCACAGTAATGACATGATGGAATGTTCTGCTGTGTGGATGTGAATGAATCTGCTTAACATTATCTTCTTGCTTAAGTTACTGCTACAGGAAACCAGCTCCTGGCTCCCTCAATTCTTAATCAGGCATGCGTATTGAGGGCTGAGATGTGGGGCCTTGTAATGACCCTTGGCTTCATAGGGCTCCTTGGTGGGCACACTGCCTCACCAGAGGACAAGGACCAGTTACTGTTTAAAAATTTGCCTAAAATGTTATGCATTCCAGAGGAAAGCTGAGTGAAAGGACTGTCCTGGAGAAAGAGATGGTTGTGTAGGTGTGAGTAGAGGAACGTACACATTTAAACTCAAGCTTTGTTTTGTAATGTGTGTAACCTGCTTGCATGATCTGCTACTGCTGAGAACACAGAGCTTCACTCAAATCTGTGCTCATTGACCTGATGGATGTTTGTTGAGTGTCATTTCATAAATTTAAAAAATTAGATTTTACCTATTTGTATTTGACCTATTTGTATGTGTTGGTGTGTTGGTGGCGGAATGTGTGCCATGGGGTAGGTGCGGAGATCAGAAGACAGCTTGCAAAAGTCAGTTCACTTTGTTCCATTGTGGGGAATCCCAGAGTTGGAGGACTGCAGCTGAGCCATCTTGAGTGTTGAATGTCACTCTTGCCATGCAGATTGGTATAGTGTTGAAGCTCAGTGGTGGCTAAAGAATATCTGTACTGTTTATATCCTGTTTGTTAGGATAGTCCCTGGATTGCTGGGAGAATAGAGCCCATGAATGAGCAGTAGATGAGGCCAGAGGTGCAGAACCCAGATAACAGGGTTTGGAGGGCTAGAGCATGGGACAAAGTCTGGCTGTTTAAAACATCTGTTTGAGGGACTCTCATGGGTTATTTAGCTCCTGCAATGAGAAGCCTAGGAGGGGTGGTATAGGGCCACGGATGTCCTAAGTGCCGACGTTGCTTTGTCACCTTCTCAGTGGCTTTTGTTTCTGTACTTTTTCTTCCAGATAGTAAAATTGGCCACTCCATCTTCAGTCAAGACTGCTCTTTAGGGCAGGAAAGGGAAAAGGGATATAGTGGAACATGAATTTTTTTCATGAAGGTACAGGGCCTAGCCATTCCTAGAGTCTAGGGGGTTCAGCTACTAGCTGGTTGTCACTAGAGCCAAATAGTTGCATTGCCAGTGATAAAGAAGAAGAAAACAACAGTGAATGAAAGACTAAAGGAGTGCTGCTGTTCCCATAATGGCCTGCAGGCTTCCCCTATGTCCTGAGGGGTCAAAATGGGAGAAAGAATGATACTTGCTAGGATCAGGTGACACCAAGGTAATGATGAGACTCGGCAGACCCATGGGTGGAGAGGGTGGCTACGTAGACTCTAAGAACAAAGCAGACTGTTAACTCTCCCAGCCCAGTGTGAGGCCCTCTGTACTACAGGCAGGTGAGCAGAGTACCTAGGGTGCGGTCCATGACTCAGACACGTGCAGACATGGAAGTGTGATGTGAACTAAAGTGCTGGAAATCCTGATACCCAGCAGGGCTGAGGCTAGATGCACAATCCAGATCTATTGTCTGTAGTGTGCCTCAGAAACAGTTGGAGGTTAGTGGTTAAGAATACTTGTTGCACGGCTGGAGAGATGGCCCAATGGTTAAGAGCACTGCCTGCTCTTCCAGAGGACCCAGGTTCTATTCCCAGTACCCACCCTATCACCACTGTCTGTAACTCCAGGTCCAGAGGATCTGAGACCCTCACACCAAAACAGGTAAAAATTAAATTAAAAGAATAATACTTGTTGCTCTTGCAGAAGTCCTGAGTTTGGTTCCCATGAACCACGTGGTGGCTTACAACCCTCTGATTCAGTTCTAGGTGATCATATACTCTCTTCTGACTTCCGGAGGCGCCAGGTACACGCATGGTTCATACACGTTCAGTCAAAGCACTCTTACACATAAAAAGAAGAGAAGGGATGGGGAAGAGGTGCCCTTTTTAATTTATATTTTATTTTTTTATGTGTATGGGTGTTTTGTTTTTATGCATGTATGTGAATCATATACACAGGCCGGTGTCTGTGGAGACCAGAAGAGGGTATTAGATTTTCCGGAACTGGAGTTACAGGTGGTTGTGAGCTTACATGTGACTACTAGGAATTGAAGTAGGTTCTAGAGCAGCCAGAACTCCAAACCATAGGAGCAGAGACCAGGAAGCCCGAGTGACAGCCTTCTAAGGCTTCTTTGATGGTGATATTGTTTTGTTTCTTGTTGTTCTTGCTTTTTATTGTTTGTTTCAGTACTGAGCTCAAACCTCAGGCCTTGTGCATGGTAGGCAAGCACTCTACCCAACGACATACTTCCTCAGCATGGAGCAATTTTTTGATATCTTCTTTGGGAAGGAGGTGACACTGGTCCTCATGAGATGGAGCAGGTCAAAGATGAGAACCTGCTCAAGGCCAGAACTAGGAAAGTACCAGTATCTACAGGCTTTGTATGAGGCCTTAAGAGCAGTAGAGTTGTAGGTATTCTAGCAAAGGTCTGAACACCCTTTGACATCTCGTTGAAGGCATTCTAGCACAAGGTCAGAACATCCTTAGGCCAAGAATCAGGCTGATGCCATAAGCATAGTGTGTGTCTAGAAAGCAGCAAACCTGGGCAAACCTCAAACCAGGACAAGAGGCAAGGAGGTGTACTTCAACATGCTCGTTCACCTGTCCAGTACATCAGGGGAAAAGTGGGCCTAGGGAGCAATGGTCTATGGTAGGAAACAAGCAGGGACCATAAAGATGTAAAAGAGAAATTGAAAGAACAAAATGAGAACAGGCCAATTTCAAATGGAAACAAGTAGGACTTTCATAAACTAAAAACTCAGTGTGGGGCCAGAGAGATGGCTCAGAGGTTAGGAACACTGGCTATTCTTCCAAAGGCCCTGAGTTCAATTCCCAGCAACCACATGGTGGCTCAGAACCATCTATAGTAAGATCTGCTGCACAGGCACATATGCAGGCAGAATGCTGTATAAATAAATGAATCTTAAAAAAACAAAACAAAACAAAAAAACTTAAGTGTGGTTTCTAGTTGGGAACAGGTAGAAGCTCTGGATAAAAGTCAAAGGGTATCTGTGGAAGGTGTGTCGAAACAAGCAGGCATGAAAAATTAGGGATAGCAGTCCAGGAGAAACAGGGAGCTCCTTCTGTTCTTGGGTGTTTCCTGGTCCCTGAAAGGGCTGAGAAGATGCAAACAGTTTCATTAGAGACCAGGGGCAGAGCCTGGCCTGGGCTGAGCCAATCAGGAGAGGACCAGCCTGGGGAGAGGAAGAGGGCTGCCTCAGCTTGGAACCTTCTAAGCTCAGTGCCGACTCCAGGCCCAGGCAACTATAATCCCAGTGCTTCAATGGCAAAATAGAAAAACAAAAGCAGGAGAATGTTTGGAAGGCAAGAAAGAAAACAGAGACAGGAACACCCTCAGAAGCTCGTAACCAGCCACTTCACTTAGTGGCAAACAAGGTAAAAGGCAGGACCCCAGGCTGCTCTGTGACCTCCACGTGTGTGCCTGCACATGCGCTCACATATCACACTCACTCAGGTGCACACGCGCGTCTAACACAGAAGATCACTAAAGAACATGAGATGTGCACAATTAGTAATGTGGTCTCTGAACGTTTTCACCTTTGCTTTCTTGCTTTGCTGGAGGCAGGCATGCTGGGGTCCATGTTCGTGCAGACCGGGACGGCTGCCTCCTCCTGCAGCTGTGTCCCGCTGTCTGGGCAGCTGGTTTGATGCATGTGGTCCATCCTTGAGAGCAGCTCCTCAGCATGCCATCATCCACAAAGCCCCAATCACCGGAAGAGACGGGACCTGGCTGCGAAGAAGAGCCGAAAGGAAACACACTTCTCACGTGGGGCTCCCTTTTCGGCCACCGGAGTGAGAAGATTGTCTTTACCAAAGGTGATGGCAGCCCAGAGGAGAGTCTGCTCACTGTCACCATCACAGAGACTACTGTCATTGAGTCGGACTTGGGTGTGTGGAGTTCAAGGGCCGTCATCTACCTCACGCTCTGGTTCTTCTTCAGCTTCTGTACACTGTTTCTCAACAAGTACATCCTGTCCCTGTTGGAAGGAGAGCCCAGCATGCTAGGTAAGGCCGCCTGGCCTGTTCCTGGCCCAGTGTGTACTCCTGCCGGCCCCAGCACTGTGAAGCCAGACACCACCAGGAGGGAGGGATGAAGGGTGATGTGCTCAGCCAGGCCTCATGCCTCCCTCCACAGGTGCTGTGCAGATGCTCTCAACGACATTAATTGGATGTGTTAAGATATTTGTTCCTTGCTGTTTATATCAACACAAAACCCGGCTCTCTTATCCACCCAATTTCATCATGACAATGCTCTTTGTGGGCCTCATGAGGTAAAAATGTGTTGATTGTCTTATATATTTATATTATAGATATGAAATACCTTTCTATTTACTAAGTGTGGGAACCTAATTGGAGACCTTGGCAATTAGTGCTGTGTTCAGGGCCCAGGATACAACTGTAGGAGCATCTAGTTGTGGCATACCCATCAGTTAGATTTTGGTTTTGAGGTCTTTAATGTTACATGAATTCTTTCTCAAATTCTTTTGTAAGGCAACCATAAAAAGTAATTCAGCTGGGTGTGATGGCACATGCCTTTAATCCCAGAGCCTGGGAGATGGTGGCAGGTGGATCTCTTTGAATTCAAAGCCAGTCTGCTCTAATAATGAGTTCCAGGACAGCCAGAGCTACAAAGTGAGACCCGAACTTTAAAAAAATAAAATAAAATAAATGAAGTAATTCAACAGTGGTTGGAAAGTGTTTGCTATCCTTGAGTGTAATGGTGTAACTCTCACCTAGGACTCAACCTCCTCATTGGGAAGAGGGACCAGATGTGCCCACTGGTCATGACTGAGCAGCTGGAGTCTCTTTTATAAACAGACAGGTCCTTCTCATGATGCTTTTCCCTTGTTTGTTTGTTTGTTTGTTTGTTTGTTTGTTTTAAGACAGGGTTTTTCTGTATAACCTTGACTGTCCTGGACTCACTTTGTAGTCCAGGCTGGCCTCAAACTCACAGAGATGTGCCTGCTTCTGCCTCCTGAGTGCTGAGGTTACAGGCATCTGCCACTGTGCCTGGCAATTATGATGTTGTTTTCTTGTTTTGAGGTTTGCAACAGTGGTTTTGGGGCTGGTCAGCCTAAAGAATGTGGCAGTGTCCTTTGCTGAGACAGTGAAGAGCTCGGCTCCCATTTTCACCGTTATCATGTCTCGGATGATCCTGGGGGAGTATACAGGTAAGGACTACCCTGGTCCTTTTGCCTGGGCTGGGCCTCCTCCTCCTTGTTGTCCACCTATAGGGTCACTGTCTACCTGTCATGATCTGGGTCTTGTTCAGCTTTCCAGAGCGCCTCAGAGCAGGGAGCCACTATATGGGCATAGGGAATTATCCCAATCTCGGCAAGAACAGCCAGTGCCCTGGTCCACTGTCTCTCTGGCGCCCCTCCCACCCACGAAGCTTTTAAAAATCAGCATATTCTGTGCTAGAAAGATGGCTCAGTGCTTAAAAGCACTTGCTGATCTTCTAGAGGACCTGAATTTAGTTCTCAGGATCCACATTTAAGGCTCACAACTGACTGTTACTCCAGTTCCAGCAATCCACACTCTCTTCTGGCTGTGGAGTTCACCTGCACACACAAGTGACACAAATTCACAGATACAGCCACACATACATTAGTAAAGACAAGTCTTTAAAAATAAAAATTGGCATATTCAAGATTATCATATTCAAATTTAATGGAGCAGTGTCTCAGTGGTTTAGCACTGGTTGATCTTCCAACATACCCTGGTTCAATTCCCAGCAGCCACAGATGTCTGTAACTCCAGTTCCTGGGGAGCCTTGTGTGATGCCCTCTTCTGGCCTCCAGGGGCACTGCATGCAGGTGCTACACAGACATAACATGCATGAAGAACACACAAAATAACAATAAAATGAAAAACTGAAATAAAAGGTACATAATAGTACATCAAAAAAGAAATGTTTTATAAGTAAGAAAGGTATTGATTTATGTTTGTATTTGCTTATGTTAAATAAGAGAAGAGGTCAGAGGTGGGGGCATGTATCAGTGGCAGAGCTCTTCCCTAGTGTGCTGAGGTTAGGGTTCCATCATGGGTTCCAGCACCGCATGTGCACACAAAGACAGTACCTTGAAATGAAGGCAAGTGGCCACCTACAGTGGCAGGAGGGAGAAGAGCCAGACCTCCTGCAAGACTGTTCTCCTGAGTGCCTTTGGAACTGCACAATTTTTAAAAAAATACTGTAAACCAGAATCAGGGCTCAGAATCAATCAACTAGAATCAAATGGTGAAGAGCAATTCCTAACAACCACAAGCAATATGAGACAAATGAGCCATATCAAGTTACCCACACAAAAGTATTATTTAAAGCCAGATACAGCAGTGTACTCAGGGAAGACAGAGGCAGGTGGAGCTCTGAGTTCAAGACCATCCTGGTCTATAAAACAAGTCCAGGACAGAGAAACCCTGCCTCAAAGAAAAAACAAAAAACCACAAATAAATAAAAAATAAAAGTTGGTGGAATTTATCAAAAAGGAATCTGTTAGGGAGACATTGGAGAATGGCTGAGGTACTAGTCTTTTCTTTTGTTTTGCTGGGTTTTGTTGTCGTTGCTTGTTTTGAGACAGGGTTTCTCTGTGTCGCCCTGGCTATCCTGGAACTCACTCTGTAGACCAGGCTGGTCTCAAACTCAGAGTTCCATCTGCTTCTGCCTCCCTTGCTGAGATTAAAGGTGCGTATCATCACAGCCCAGCGAGGTGCTAGGTTTTCAAGGGGCTTTAGGTTTACTGAGAGAAGTAGCCTGGTAGTGTTACCATCTCCCCAAGAGGCGTTTGATCACTGTGGTAGCTGAGAAGCTCCTTGGCCTCAGTGATCACTGTGGTAGCTGAGAAGCTCCTTGGCCTCAGTGATCATTGTGGTAGCTGAGAAGCTCCTTGGCCTGGGATGGAAGTTGGACCCAGAGGACAGACTGGAAAATGCCAGACTTAGACCTGGAATTCTGACCCTTGTGAAACCCAAGTTGGACAGAGGTGTTGTCTATGCCACAGTTGGCCAGAAGCAAAGTCAGGTAAGGTAACATATGTGTAGGTCTCTCTGGAATTTTATACATATTGTCTCTCTGGAAATTTATACATATTTATACATACCATTTAATGAAAACTACCAAGGAGACGGAGGATAATATCAATCATAGAAAACCAAGAGGTGCTTGTTTGGTAATCTTTTGTCAGAAGAGGTCTTCGTGTCCTTTCCTAGGCTCAGGGATCTGTTGGTTTCTTATTACTTCCCAGGGAGGTCCATGGAAAGTTCAAGTCCCTGCGCTAGGCATCACCAGCCTGTCACGGGACAGGAACCATTTCTTCTGAGGTTAGGCTGGGCTGAACTGAGAACTGTGATGGTTACTTTTGATAACCAGAATGGGCACATGTCCTTGTTTTCTTTGGCTATTGAAATAAGTCCAGTATGTAAGATTGAAAAGGTGCTGAATAGTACCTGATGTCATTTCCCAAATTAATGTAGGTGGGAAAGGAGATTTGCATTTGCACTGAATGAATTTTTAAATAAGACATTTATTTATGTGTATGCGCATGCTGTGCGTGCGTGTGTGTTTGTGTGTGTATATGTGTGCCTGCAGAGGCCTGAAGAAAGTGTCAGATCAAGTCCAGCATGGTGGCACACCCCTGTAACCCCAGACCTCGGTGGCTGGGGTGGGGGGTGGGGAGGCAGAGGCAGGTGGATCAATGTGAGTTCAAGGCCAGCCTGGTCTACAGAGCAAGTCCACAACAGCCAAGGATACACAGAGAAACCCTGTTTCTAACCTCCCCCCCCCCCAAAAAAAAAAAAAAAAAAAAAAAAGAAAAGAAAAAGAAAGTGTCAGATGCCCGGTTACTAAGTCACACCAGTGATAAGCCCCAAGTAAGTGCTGAGAACCGCACTGGAGTCCTCCGGAAGAGCAGCAAATGCTCTCGGTTGCTGAGCCATCCTTCCAGTCCCTGAATGAGCATTTTAATCTCTTGTATAGTGAGCTTTTTGTGGCTGTTGTTGTTTTGTTTTGAAGACAGGGTTTCTCTGTGTAGCCCTGCCTATCCTGTAACTAGCTCTGGACACCAGGTTTGCCTCAACTCAGAGATCCATCTGCTTCTGCCTCCCAAATGCTGGAATTAAATGTGTGCACCATCAGACCTGCCTTGTTTTGCTTTTTTGTTTGTTTTGTTTTTTCTTCCCCAAAAAATAAACTGGAGGATTAGCTGCGCTGCCAGTGTGACAGCCTGATGGTGGAAGGAGGAAACTGTCTCCCACAGGGCTCCCTCCTATACCTAAGTGCCGTGATTTGTGTGCACCCATACTTAAGCATACTCCTGTTTTGTTCTTGTCAGGGCTGCTGGTCAACCTGTCCCTCATTCCAGTCATGGCAGGGCTAGCCCTGTGCACCGCCACGGAGAGAAGCTTCAACATTCTGGGGTTCTCAGCCGCACTGTCCACCAACATTATGGATTGGTGAGTCACAAAGCACAAGAAGAAGCGATGGAGGAGGGCTTGTGTGCGGTGTGTCCACAGATGTTCACATCCAAGCTAGCTGAGTCCCACCCCTGTGACAGCCAGCTCCGCTGTCCTGTGATTTCTCAGGAAGAACAACAGTAAGCTCGATCAGGCGCATTTTCCCCAAAGCCAGCTGGAATTTGGTGATATGTAACCCTGATTCTTACATGCTCACTAGAGGGATGTGCTACACAGTCAGGGTAGTTGTGATAGTCAGGTTAGTTGGGCTGGTGTGGCACAGTTGCCTGTAATCTCAGCAGAAGTGGAATTGCTGTGAGCTCCAGGCTGCCCAGGGAAATACAGTGAGATACTACTCTAAATAACAGCAAAACAAACAAAAAGCCCACAGTGAGGTTGTCTTCTGACCGTCACATGTATCTTGGCATTCATGCGCACACCTACACCTCTAGCCACACACATCCTCTGTGTGCGTCATACTGTAGGATAACCCTTGTTATTAATATGACAATTCTAAGCATATCATTGGCTGATGAAGAATATAAGCTTAACCCTGTATGTCACATAGCAAGCTAAGTAAAACCAAGGAAGAAGCCAGAGACCGACTGAAGGCTGTAAAGCCAGGCAACTGGATCATTCTGTCTCTTCCTGGTCGGGAGACTATTTGTGTCTTGGAGTTGGGGCTGCAAAGCTAAGGATAAAAAGTTAACTCTCGGGCAGATGCCAGCCATGTAGAAAGGCCCTGAGGCAAAATGTTGGGTTGGTGTTAGTGTTCTGGGCACACAGTCAGCTGAGGACAGATGTCATATTCGAGTCCTGTTTCTTTTCTCTCTTTGATTCCTTTCTCTCGCTGGCTTTCCAGGCTGACTTTGGGTTGCAGTCCTCCTGCCTCAACCTCCTGAGTGTTGAGATGACAGCTATTAGGCACATACAGTGTATCTGACATGTCCTCTCCTCCATGCTATCACTGAAGTTCACCCCAGAACTGTTCTTTCAAAACTGCTAATCGGTTTAACATGTCCCCCATTTTTTGTTTTTGAAAGAGGGTTTCTCTCTTTAGCTCTGACTGTCCTGAAACTCATGATGTAGACCAGGCTGGGCTTGAACTCACTCCACCTGCCTCTGTCTCTTGGGTGCTGGAATTAAAGGCATGTCTAACTTTTCTATTTTTAAGAGAAAAAAAACAGCTACCATAAGTATATATAAGTTTGTTATCAGCGATACTGCTGAAGAAAACAGCTGACCTTGCAATTATGCACGTGAATAAAAATAAAAACCATTCTTAACCGGTCCTTTATTCAGTGAGGCATTTCCTCCAGGCTGTTCTGCGCCGTGTTTGTGGTTGTTAGGTACCTATAGAGTTACACCACACAGAAACCCTTGTTTGAGAAGGGGTTCATCACTAGACATTTTCCGCAGCCTGGTATTTGTGATTTCCTCTCGATTGAACACACATACAAAACATTCTATTCAGTAGCCAATCTGCAGGGAACATGAATCTTTGCCTATTTTCTTACTTAAGCTTACTTGAGCTTCTAAAAGGCAAAATTAGCAGATGAGTCCTAAACATCTGCAGATGCTCTTGATCTGTGCTGTTCTGTTGTTTGAGGCAGCCTCCTTGGAAACTACTCTGTCCATGAGGATTGGTGTCACCTTTTCCTACACTAAGACCCCTCTCTAGTGAGAGGCTGGACAGCAGTGTCCCACTGTGTCAAGTTTTGGTCTCTGAGGTCATTTTTGTTGTTGTTTTATTTGTTTTTTGTTTTTTGAGACAGGGTTTCTCTGTATAGCCCTGGCTGTCCTGGATTCACTCTGTAGACCAGGCTGGCTTAGAACTCAGAGATCTGCCTGCCTCTGCCTCCTGAGGGCTGGGATTGAAGCCGTGCCCCATCTCATGACTCTGAGGTCATCTTTGAAGCCAGAATTGTTTTATGTTCCCATTGGCTATTTGCGAGTTTTCCCTGTGGTGTGTCTGTTCTGGCTTAAAAATCTGTGATTTTTTTTTTCCACTGGAGTTTTGTATGCATGAATAGTTTTATTCAATTAGGGTCCTTGTTTGCCTGGGCTCTAAAGTTACTGATTTATGGGAACATCATTCCAAGTGAGTTATTTTGGTTTTGTTTGTTTGCATGCTTACTTTGCTTATTATGGTTGGTTTCAGTTTGTTTGTTTGTTTGTTTGTTTGTTCATTTGTTGGAGACAGGGTCTCTCTACTTAGTCCTGGCTGGCTGAAACTCACTAGACCTGTCTTTGAACCCTCTGCTTCCTGAGTGCTGGGATCAAGGCTGTGTTCCAGTGTGCCACCATTTCTGGCTTAGATTTATTTTTATTGTATATGTATGAGTGTTTTGCCTGCATGCATATGCGTGTATCACATGTGTACCTGATACCCTCAGAGGTCCATGGAGCCCAGAAGAGGATGCCGGATCCTCTGGAACTTGAGCTATAGAAGGTTGTGAGCCACCATGTCAGTTCTAGGAACCAAGCCTGTGGCCTTTTGTAAGAATAACAAGTGCTCTTCATCACTGCACCTTCTCTCCAGCCCTTCTTTTGGGCTTCTGTGACAGGGTCCTATGTAGCCTAGGCTGGCTTTGAACTCATTATGAATCTGAAGATGACCTTGACCTCCTAATCCTTTTGCCTCTACTTCCCTTGTTGGGTTTTTCAAAGTGTACAGAGCAAGCCCATGTGGTCCTGTGATGTCTGAGATGGCAGGTCACTCAGGCTTGCATGTTCTACTCACCTGTCTGTAGGGACAATAGGCACAGTTGTGCTTCCCAGTGAGAGGATGCCTGGACACACCTGGTACTGGACTGGCCTCAGGCAAGTAAGTGCCAGTGGCTGTTCAGCTTTGCAGCTGTTGTCATCATCTCCTTATTCACTAACTGACTTAAATGTTTAACATCCTTTCTCTGTTCTAGTTTGCAGAATGTTTTTTCAAAAAAGCTTCTCAGTGGGGACAAATACAGGTTCTCGTAAGTATTTCCAGGAAGAGGGCTTCTAGTTTTATTTTTGGAGGCGGAGGTGGTAGCCCTAGTGTTGGGGTGTGGAGGGGAAGACAGTGCCTCTGTGTAGCCCTGGCTGTCCTAGAACTCACCAGACAGACCAGGTTGGCCTTTAATTCTCAAAGGTCCTCCCACCTCTGCCTCCCAAATGCTGGGATCAAAGCCATGCACTACTATGGCAGCATTGACTCTAGCTTCATAAGGCCCTATAGGACTTCCGATCTTTGCACAGCTCTGAATGCTGACCCCAGGAGCCTGAACTCACCTGGTTTGTGTAGCTTTGACAGTTCTTTGTGAAAAACTGAAAGAAAACCACCTATTTCCCAGCTTCCTTCTCAGACCACCAAACAGCTAGTTCAGTTTATGGTGACCCTTTCCCTTTCTAGAGAGCCAAGGCTGTCCTTGTCATTGTGGGAGACGCATTTCTAGATTGTTGATTCTTTAGAGTTGTCTTTGCTGAAAATAGTAGGAGCCTCGACCCAAGCATGGGAAAGACCAAGTGTCTTCTGTCGCTTCAGGGCCCCGGAGCTGCAGTTCTACACCAGCGCTGCTGCTGTGGCCTTGCTGATTCCAGCATGGACCTTCTTCATGGTGGGTTTCCAGCCTGGCACCCACCACCCTGGGGCCGCTGCTTCCTTCCGACAGTTGAGGAGAAGAAGGCTGAGTGGCTAATACTCAGTTTTGTTAGGGTTCTTAGGCTTGCCCAATTTATCTTCTGTTATAGAAATGGTATTTACCCACTGCTGAGTAGTCAGTAGAGCTGGGCAGTGGTGGTGCTCACCTTTAATCCCAGCACTTGAGAGGCAAAGGCAGGTGGATCTCAATGATCTCAATGTAGTCTGAGGCCAGCAGGGACTACAGAGTGAGTTTGTTGGCCACCAAGGCTGCACAGGAAAACCCTGCCTCGAAAGACCAAAAAATTAAGAAAAAATAGTCAATAGAGGCTTTTGTTGCTGTTTTGAGACAGGACAGGGTCTCATTATGTAGTTCTGGGTGGCCTGAAACTTGCTGTGTAGGCCAGGTTGGCCTCAAACTTACAGATGCCTCAGGATCTTGAGTGCTAGTGTTAAATGAATGTGTCCCTGAATCTACCTAAGTCAACCAAACTGGGAGGAATACCCCACCCTTAACCCCTTCCCTAAATTTTCATCTAGTGAGCTTGTGGGTACAAAGATACTCATGACATATTTCCTGGCATCTGTCAGTTTGTGGAAATGTGTGCCTGTGTAAACCTTTTTCCTTAAAATGTTGTACTGAGAACTCTATAGAGATCCTGCTGTGGAACAGAGCTTTATTTTGCCCCCACAGTTCCACAGATGGTAAAGGAACTCCTCACATCTACATCCTATTCAAATAGTGTGTCTTTGGAATATAGTATATTGGAACTGGAATGGCTGCTTGAAACATTTTATGTTGTGGCCCTTGTTCTGATGGTCTTGACAAATTGCTCGCGAGGACATTCAGAGTGCTCCGTGTTAGTGCTTTCCAGCTCTGGGCACCAGTGAGATCGTGTCTTCTCAGCAGTGGTGGTGACAGGGAGACTCAGGCCAGAACAGTGTCCTTTTGTTTTGGCCATAGGATGTCCCTGTGATCGGTAGGAGCGGGAAGAGCTTCAGCTACAGCCAGGACATTGTGCTGCTGCTGTTGACGGACGGAGCCTTGTTTCACCTTCAGAGTGTCACTGCATATGCCCTCATGGGAAAGATCTCCCCTGTGACTTTCAGGTGAGTGGAACCCATTTTCCAGGAGCCATGGAAGATAGTTGCGGGTCTCCTCCACAGTGATGAGACCCAGGTTTCCTCCTGGTGGCCAATGTGATTCATTGGGTATTTTGTGCCATCACTGCATGAAATAGATTTGCAGGGAACTTCTTTCTAGGCACCCAGGTTGCAGGAATTTTTCTGAGACTCTGGGTACTTTTCTGTCTAGAACAGAGCTGGCAGAGTTGTCAGGATAATGGGATGTTCTATTTGTTTGTATTGTCCCAGACAGGAGCTGGTGGCCACGTGTTGTTCCTGAGTACTTCATGTGGATGTACAGTGACCAGAGAGTTACTTCCTTATTTGATGTTAATCAATATATACTTATATTGATTAAATATGTATATATAATGTATACATATATACATGTGCATTTGTTTTTTGAGACAGGGTTTCTCTGTATAGCCTTGGCTGTCCTGGACTCACTTTGTAGACCAGGCTGCCTTCGAACTCACAGAAATCCACCTTCCTCTGCCTCCCTATGTGCTGGGATTACAGGCATATGCCACCAAACTTGGCTTCTGGCTATCATTTTTGATAGACATATGTGGCCAGTTTCCATTGCTGGAAACTTGGGGAACTAAAGAATCTGTCCACGTTTTTTTCAAGTTCATGCCTGGACAGATTTGACAAATGGGCAACTTAGAGGTGGACACACTTTAGCAGCAAACCAAAAGGGGTCCACTGTTGTTGTCCCTAGCACGGCTGCAGGTAGCTCTGACCATATTGTACTGTTGAAAGGCCAGCAGAACTTTTCCTCTAACTTGGGTCTGCACTAGGGACGCAGGTCTGTGCCTAGTTGGAAGACAGATGAGCACATACTCTGATTGTGCCGCCACTAAGTCCAGGTTGGTGCAGTGAATTCTCACATGCCCACTTAGATCTGTTGCTGCTTGGTGCGAAGTTGAGGGAATGCTCTTTTAGTTTCCTTTTTGTTGCAGTGATAAAACACTATGACTAAAAGTAGCACGGACAGCAGAGGGTTTATTTGGCTTACACTTCCAGGCCACGGTCAATCATTAAGGGAAGTTATTTTAGGAAGCAGAAGACGGCTACTTGCCATTTCACACAGCAGTGCCTCTGGCCAGGGCACTCACTCAGGAAGTACAGCGAAAACCATGGAGGGACACTGCTGGCTTGCTCACTGCCTCATGCTGGCTGGCTTTCTCACACAGCTGGGGACTGCTTGCTGAAGTAATGCTATAGTCCATAGTGGGCCGGGTCCTTTTGCATGAGTTAACACACAAAACAATCTCGCACAGACATGCCCACAGACCGGCCTGATCTGGGGATCCCTCCCCTGAGGCTTGTTTTTCAGATGAGTCTGCGCTGAATCAGGTTAAAGCTAACCAGGACGGGCACACGGGGGGGAAACTTCTCCCATGTCCACCAGGCTGAGATGTTCCGAAGTGTTACCGTCCTCTTTTCTTTCCTTCCTTCCTTCCTTCCTTCCTTCCTTCCTTCCTTCCTTCCTTCCTTCCTTCCTTCCTTCCTTTTCTTTTTTCCGTGTGTGTCTGTGTGAGTGTGTGTGTATTTCTCTATGTAACTGGCTGTCCTGGAACTCACTCTGTAGACCAAGTTGGCCTCGAACTCAAAGCAATCCACCTGCCTCTGCCTCCCAAGTGCTGGGTATAAAGGTATACACCACCATGCCCAGCTTAAAATGTCATTTTCAATGTTCTTGATTTTTCAAAAAGAAGTGTGAAAGAGATGACTTAGTGGTTAAGAACACTAGCTGCTCTTCCAGAGGACCTAGGTTCGATTCTCAGCACCCAGTGGTAACTAATAACCACCTGTAACTCCAGTTCCAGGGATCTAACACCCCCCTCTGGCCTACGTGGGCCCCTGCATACTCATGCATATACACACAGTCAGGTACATACACACGCACACAGAATCAAATAAACATTTTTTTTTTCCAAATAAATAATGAGACTGGTGTTGAAGCCACTTATTTAATTCCAGCCTTCAGAAGGCTAATGCAAGAGGACCCCTGCAAGCTCAGAGCCAGCTTAGGGTAGAAAGCAAGACCATGTCTCAAAAAACTAAGTCTAGGAACTGGAGAGCTCGCTTAGAGGTGAAGGGCACTTGTCGCTCTTGAAGACGACCTGGGCTGATTCCTAGCACCCAAGTGATGATTCACAACAATCCATGACTCCATTCCCAGGATGCCTGATGCCCTCCTCTGACTTCTGTGAATACCAAGCATGCATGTGGTACACATACAGACATGCAGGGAAACTCACACACACAGTGAAATAATAGTGAGAATTTTGGTTTCTTAAAAAACCCAGTTATGTTGGAAATACGTTTTTTGTTTCAATCTCAGGTGTAGAATATGGGGCTTCTTCAGATTGTCCACAGCAGCTGACTATAATTTGTCTCATGCTCCAGCAGGGGCATCGTTTTGCCTGCTGGGGACTCTTGATAAATGCTAGAGCCCAGAGAGGGACTGTGGCAGCTGCTGCTCCCCCTGCTGCCACCTCTGCCCCCTGCTCTTGTTTGTTGCTGGTTGCTGGATTGATGGTTGCTCGCTGATGATGAAGATCAAACTTGCCCCAGTGAGCTTGAAATCCCTACTCAGCAACAGTCTAATGAGACCAGTGCTACAAAGAGAAACTCTATCTTGAAAAACAAAATAAAAAAAGACAAAGAAGCTAAGGCCAAACTGGGTGTGAAGACGCGCACTTATAATCACAGTATTTAGGAATCAGAATGGGATTCAAAGCCCCATCAATTTAGAGAAATGGATGTTTGCTTGAGCTCCAAAGGAAGGAAGGAGGAAAAAAAGAACAAAAGCTGAAGCAAATATGACAAAATGCCGTTCATCAAGTCCTGGTGGTGAGGCTATGTCACAGTGTTCCTTTTCTTTTCTGATTGAAGTTTTCCTCTTTTAAGTCTCTTTATTTAATTTGTATGGGTGTTGCGGTGATTTATTTTGTGTGCCTGGCCCTTTGAAGGGTCCCCAGTTGCTGGCCAACTGCCCTCTAAGAATTTAGCTGTCAGAACTGCTTGACACTATGACCTTAAGTGTTGTTTGCCTCTTGGATTTCTAGGAACAGGAGAGGATATAAAAAGTCAGCCGAGGCTGAGAAAGGGGGCAGTTAGCAGAGTGAGAAGAGAAGGCAGTTGGTGGAGAAGATACCATTAGACGGTTGAGCCAGGGGAAGCTGAGCTGAGCAGAACAGTTGTTACAGTTTGGAGCTGGTAGGACTGGGGAAACTGGGAGAAGGGATGGCTTAAGCTCACAGTTGGGGAACTGAGGGAGGAGCGATTGGGAGGAAAGTTTGAAGGGGCTGGCCTGGAAGCTGGGAGGAGGCCTGGCAGAGACTTAAAAGAACTGGTTATTGTTCTAAAAGAGGCAGCCATTTTACAGGTGTCGTCTGCCATGTATATGTGAGCATCATGTGTGTGCTTGGTGCCCATGGAGGCCGGAAGAGGGCATCGGATTCCCTGGGACCAGAGTTAGAGACGATTTTGAGCTACCATCTGGATGCTGGGAACCAAAATCAGGTCCTCTGGAAGAGCAGCCACTGCTCTTACCCACTGAGACATTTCTTCCACCCTTATTTTGAGATTTTTTCATTAAAAAAACTAAACATGAGAAGTAAAAGAACAAAGTTGCAAGCAACCCCCTATTGTTCCCATCCCCTCTGTGGTGGACACCTCGTCCACGCCCCACTTGGGGCCGAGACCCTGGCTGGACAGCACAGCAGTCATGCATCGTGTAACATCTGGCAGTCACTGCCAGCAGCAGCCCAGTTTGGGTGTGAGCCCAGAACCTGACCATTCCCTCTGCTCTGTTGCCGTAGCGTTGCCAGCACTGTGAAACACGCCTTGTCTATCTGGCTCAGCATCATCGTTTTTGGCAACAAGATCACCAGCCTGTCTGCCGTTGGCACCATCCTTGTCATAGTGGGTGTCTTCCTCTACAACAAGGCCAGGCAGTATCAGCAGGAGACCATGCGGAGTCTGGTCACAGCCACCAGCCGAGGCCCTGAGGATGACACAGAGCCGCTGGCTCCCCAGGACTCTAGACAGCACCACTGAGCTCCTGAGGCTGCGTTCCCTGGATCCCAGCCTAGGCTATCCTCTGGCACTGCATGCTGGGATAGAAAGGCAAACTGAGCAGGGCAGCAATCTTGCTCCTCGCTGGACATCAGATGGGTAACTTGAGAATTGGCCTCTGCCTGACAGAGGAATCAAACGACCTGCAGCAATCCTGCCATACTACCCAGGCTGCAGCTGGGACAGTACCTCAGTGGGGCCAGCTGTGAGACAAGCACAGGCCCCAGTACCAGCGTGAGTCGCTCTCTGCTTAATGCCATTCAGGAGACCTCAACTTTTATATGCCCACCTCCATCGCAGGCATGGAAGCCTCCTGGTCCTGACAGTCTCTGAAACAGAAGTTCCAGATGCCAGTTCCATGACTCCAGCATGGAGCCACAAAACCCTGAGAAACCAGAGTGGCAGACAGCAGAGACCAGTGTCTTCTGCCACAGAGGGACAGGGTTTATGTGAAGGGAAAGTCTCCTCTTCTTGGCCTGTGCTGCACTGGGCTACCCTGCTCCAGGGCTGCTGGCCCACGTTTCTGCTGCCCATGTGATGGTTGCCCCACTCTGGGAAGGTCGGAGAAATGTCTGATTTGAACAGCTGCCCTGGAGTTCTTCTCCATCTTGGGTATGATAAATGTGAAGCTGTTGTGAATGTCAGGGCTGACTACCCTGCAAAGGCTCCCTTCAGGATGGACGAACTGGAAGTTTGGCAGAGCATTGGAGCTTACAAGGTTCTGCTGCAGTTAAAGTAACACTGCTTTTTAACAAAGCAGGCACCTGCCAAGGGTCCTGGAGTGCCTGCGGGTAAGGTGCATCGAAGTTTACACACACAACTGGCTCTTCCTCGGGATCATATGAGGCATGTCCTGAGCCACCAGGTGCCCAGAGCCTGTACCTTCTCACCAGGGTCACTAGTGCCAGCTCAAGGCAGAGGGAAGATGACAGTGGAGCCTTGGGCATGAAATGCTGAGGTTCTACATTAGTCATCATTTTGTGAGTTGTGTATGGGGTGCAACCTGTGGCCAGCCGGTTCTTAAGACTCACCATTAAGCCAAACTCTGAGACCTGTGAATGGTAGCCCCCAGCACTTCCTGTCCCAAGCCCCACTTCTACTCGCTGCACTTCTTCAGTGCCCTGGTGCTTTGCTAGTTTCCAGGTTCTCTTCTTATCTGGGAAACACAAAAATAGCCCTTTGAAGAGATAGATTGAAGTGAAAAAGCAATAATTATGTGTAAGTTTTATTTACTTGAAAAAGTCATCTGCCATGATGGATCAAAATGAGGCCTTCTAGTCTGCAGGCCGCCTTTTAAAACAAGATGAGCTGAGTGCTGGGCACAGGCTAGGTTCGTCCTCACTGTGTATGTGAGCTCACCCCACTACGAAGACATTGTATTTGACTTTGCCCAGCTTTCTTGTTCCTTCCTCTTTGCTCTCCCCAAAATAAAGATCCAGTGGAGGGCAGATAGTGGCTGCTGGATTAGTCTGTGCACTAGGCCTGTCTACTCACACTCTGGCTGTGGAGCTGCTGACACAGACAGAGGAGCGCATGCTTGGGTGCTGTAGGAAGATCTCTGGCCTTCCCCCAGAACTTGTCTACGTGTGCTCAGAGCCTCAGATGCCTGGCTGCTTACTTTTAGTGGGAATTTCTGCCTGTATCGCCTGTGTAATTAGGAAATGGCCCACTGTGATGACACAATTCCCCACTTCACCAGCCTCACAGCCCATTTTGATTTCCTAAGGTTATGGATTAGAAAGGAAAACAAAGATTTTCTTAAAACACTTTGCTGTAAAGCTGCTTTTGAGACTTGCCCTCATCAGAGGAGGGAAGGGCTTGCAGTCTGAACTCAGGCCAGCACCAGGATCCTGGCCAGCTTTACATTCCTTCTGTATCATTGCCACACCCAGCTGCTTCCTCCAGCATTTCCAGGACAGGCCTGGAATGGCCCTGCTTGGCCATTTGTTAGGACCATCCCATCACAGTATTTTTTACATTAACTTTGTTAGTACTTTTACAGAATACAGTGTTCTTCGTGGATGGTTACTAATGTACATGTGGAACCTCTGGCACCAGGTGTTGTTACTTGTCTGAGATAATTCCTCCTGAGCCCATGTCATCCTCTGGGCTGTTGTAAACAACGCTGGATGGACCTTCTGAGCCAGCTGCCTGCTAATTCACTATACCTAAAATACTTCTAAGGGCTCTAGAGATGGCTTAGTGGTTAAGAACTAGTTCTCTCACTAAGGACCCAAGTTCAGTTCCTAGAACTCATGTAGGGTGTCTCACAGCTGCATGTAACTACAGCTTTACAGATTTGGATGCCTCTGGCTTCTCTGGGTGTACACAAACAGGGCCCATGTATGTGCGCACACACACACACACACAATTTAAAAATAAATACATTTTAAGACTTCCATGGTTTGGAGTATACCTTTGTGGTTCATCACTGCCATGCATTGTGAGACCCTTGAGCTGATCCCTGGCAGCACACGTGGGATAGAAGGATGAAGGGGAGACAGTAAAACCCTCAAATTTTCTACTACTAAAAGTCTTTTTATGCTTTTAATAATTTATTCATATTTTATATGCATTGGTGTTTTGCCTGCATGTCTGTCTGTTTGAAGGCGTTGGATCCCCTGCTACTGGAGTTTTAGACAGCTGTAAGCTGCCATGTGGGTTCTGGGAATTGAATTTGGGTCCTTTGGAAGAGCAGCCAGTGCTCTTAACAGCTGAGCCATCTCACCAGCTCCTTTCGTTTGTTTTTAAATTGAAGCATGATGGTAATTACCTATAATCTTAGTACATTGGAGGCATTAGGCTAAATAGTGATTTTAAGGCCAGTTTGGGCTACTTATTGAGACCGTTTTAAAAAAACAAACAAACAAAAAAACCTTTTTCTGATCGTCATCATTTCTTGAATATCAACATGATAATCTGTTGTTGGGCAGTGGTGGTTTACACATTTAATCCCAACACTCAGGAGGCAGATGCAGGCAGATCTCTTGAGTTCAAGGCCAGCCTGATCTATGTAGTGAGTTCTAGGACAGCCAGGGCTGTTACACAGAGAAATCCTGTCTTAAAAACAAATGGGCTGGAGAGATGGCTTAGAGGTTAAGAAGACTCACCGTTCTGCCAGTAGGTCCTAAGTTCAATTCCCAGCAACCACCTGGTGGCTCATAACCAGCTATAGTGAGATCTGGTGCCTTCTTCTGGTGTGCCAGCAGAATGCTGTGTAAGTAATCTTTTAAAAAACAAACAAAGCATTACAATCTGCTGCCTACGAAGTTGAGAGTACTCTTTCTTTTTTTTTTTTTTTTTTTGTTTGTTTTGATTTTTGTTTGTTTTTTTGAGACAGGGTTTCTCTGTGTAGCCCTTGCTGTCCTGGAACTCATTCTGTAGACCAGACTGGCCTTGAAGTCACAGAGATCAACTTCCCTCTGCCTCTCAAGTGCTATAATCAGAGGTGTGGGCCCATTGAGAATACCCTTATGCAATCCAAAATGCGTTTCTATCTTGAGAAAAATAAAAATGATGAATCAAACAAGATTAACAGCAATAAAGTGCACAAGGGAATCTGCCAAGTGAACTTTATTTTGTGTCTTTAAAACACCATAAACACGTGGCTTTGTGGCCCTGCTCTCTGGAAGGTCACTTTGCTCAGTGAGTACAGTGGATGGTTCAGCACAGCCCCTCACATCCATCCAAGCGATGTCCTCTAGGACCTGCAGGCATTCCATTTCTTCCTCAGGAAGGGGTAAACAAAGATGTTGCTACAGATGGGAAAGTGTGCCAGTTCTTCCTGAGGCTGTTTCCTTCTGTAACCCACACTGTCCCTGAAGTCCCTGAGCCCCTAGACCCTTGTGCTCCAGCCTTCTTAGTCCTGAAATTATAAGCTTGCCTCGCCACTCCTGACCCCCTCAGTTCTCTTTCCTTGGTTGTTTTTGTTGTGGTGGTAGGGATAGAACTCAGGGCTTCAGGAATGCGGGGCTGCTGTTTTTCTCTGAGCTATGGCCGCCCAGCCTGTTTTCTTAGTTTATAAATGTCTTTACTTTCCACATGAATTAAAACAGAAACATACTGATTGTGGACAAACAGTACCCACCACAAATCAGAGTGTAGTGGATTTTATCTTCAGTGTCTCTGAAGAAGTATGGTTTCCTGTTGGCCTGGGGCCTCTGATTCTGAATGTGGTGGCTGTTGGACCCTTGCTCACATGTCCAAGTTTGCTTTGAAACCAAACCCATTGGCAAATATTGTGTGGGGTGGAGGTTTTCTTTTTGTTTGCTTGCTTGCTTCATTTTAGTTTCCATTTCTGGGACTCAAACTGCATATTAAATTCATTTGTAATGTCTGGATTTGGGGATAATTGTGAGTCTGTATTTGTTCAAGCAGTATTGGTACTTTGAAAAAGGCCACAGTTTAGCATAGTAAGTCCCACATTAAAAAAATAACAAAATGAAACTTGATACTTTATTAGTTGTCTACATCAAAGCCACGTCATATTTGCTTTATACCAGATAATACTAGAAAGCTGAAATTAGACATCATAGAATGTCTAATGTATTTCACTGTTTCAGTGTTTCAGCATTAATACCCTCTAGAAGAGAATTCTGTTAGATAACTCCGTGATTCCTGTTATAAATTGGTATTGTTTAATAAACCCTGTGGAAACCTCTTTCTTCAAGCTGCCAATGGTTCTTGTATAATATATGTAACTGTTTTCTTTGTGTATGTCTCTCTTTTGGTTTTTTGAGACAGGGTTTGTGTAGCCTTGGCCGTCCTTGAACTCACAGAGATCCACCTGCTTCTGCCTGTTTGTTTGTTTGTTTGTTTGTTTTTGAGATAGATTTTGTCTGTGTAGTCCTGGCTGTCCTGGAACTCATTCTGTAGACCAGGCTGATCTTGAACACACAGATCTGCCTGCCTCTGCCTCCTAAGTGCTGTTATCAAAAGTGTGTGCCACCACTGCTTGGTTTGTATAACTTACTTAGGCTGCTGAAATTGTCAGTCGTTTCCAGGTTGCTCCAGAGGCTAGGTGAGAGCTGGGACAACAAAGCAGTTCACTCGAATACCCTTCATCTTGTTCTCATGCACTAGTTGTTATATTATTTTACATCATACCATTTCAGGGCCATACTTGTGGACAGCTGCTCTCCATTTTGTTTGTTTCTGCCTCCCAACTCAAGATGTTTAGTTTTTCCCATTTGGTTTGTTTTTCAAGACATGGCTTTGTGTAGCCTTGGCTGTTCTGGAACTAGCTCTGTCAACCAGGCTGACTTCGAACTCAGATATCCACCTGCCTCTTCCTCCTAAATGCTGGGATTAAAGGTGTCCACCACCACTATATGGCTTTGCTATTTTTTTTTTTTTTTTCAAAACCCACAGGATAATCTCAACTGGACAAAGTCAAGCAGGAGAAATTTTCATTTCTGCTCTCTCTTGCACAAACCGTGATAGGATAATAGTTTTTTAGTGGAATTACAGAACCCTTCAAAACTTCCAGTTGGGTGGGGCATGCTAGCCCAGGACTTTAATCCCAGCACTCAGGGAGACAGAGGCAGGCAGATCTCTGTGAGTTGGAGGCCAGCCTGGTCTACAAAGTGATTCTAGGATAGCCAAGGCTACACAGAGAAACCCTGTCTCGAAAAACCTAAAAAACAAACAAAAAACCCAGTTGGTTTAAGTAAACACTTTTGAGAAGTATTGTCATAGTGTCAACTTTAAAATCTAACAGTAAAACTACCTGCCCAGTTTCAATGTGTCATGACAAAATTTACAAGATCTTACTCAGCTTTGTGATTCTGCAATTAGAATGAACAGAAACAAACAAAAAACCACGGAGGATGGCGGTACACATCCGTGACCCCAGCACTCAGAGGCCGAGGCAAGAGGATTTCTGAGTTCAAGGCAAGGTCTACATACTGAACCTTGTGTCAAAGCAAAACGATAACAAAAAACCCAACCCCTCCCAAGGGCCAAGCAGAAAAGGCTAGTTTTAAAAACAAAAAGGCTGAGGAAACTGGATCGTTTCAATGCTTTTTTCTTGTAGAGGGGACTTCCTCTTCCTGACAGATGCTGCCTAGCCGCTCTGGGAATTCGGCTTCCTGAGTCCTGAGTATGTCAGAAGACTTGTTTTTCCATTTGACAGTGTGACCGTCCAGCGAGACTCCACTCTGCGAGGCCTAGCACGACTTAGCGCAAACCAAAGGCCTCATACGAGTTTGACGAGTAAAAACAAAGGTCTGGTTGCGGAAGTGGGATGCCGCCAGCATTACGGCTGCCCGGCCTGATGGCGACGCCTAGAGGTAGTCCGGGCCGCCAACGGGGCGGAGCAAGGAGACCCGCCGCCTAGTGCAACCCCACATCCGGCCCACAGCCGGAGCCGCCTGGGCGGGTCGGCTCGAGCTACGCCCCAGGGCGGCGCCAGACGCTGCTCCGCCTTCAGCCTCCGGGTCGAGCGTCACTAGCAGGCGCCAACTCGGCGAGGACGGGCGCTTCCGGTGCGTGCAGGGTGCCATTCAGGTGGGAAGAAGGCGAGGCCACCTGCGGTTTGCCGTCGTGCCGGTACGTTATCAGCGTGCATCCACGGAGGAAGTGACGACATCCTGACGCGCGCCGGGCCCTGTTTCTTCTCCGACTCCGGGATCGGCGGCGGCGGTGGCGGCGGCCGTGGCGGCGCAGGGGTGAGTGGCGGCGGGAGATGAGATGCGGGTTGACGGGCGATCCTGAAGAGTCGCGCCTGGCGACACGCTGCTGCCGCGCCCAGTCGTGCCCCGCACAGAACGAGGGCAGCCGAGGCGGCAGGCCCCGCGCTCCCCGGAGCCAGCCCCGACCTCGGGTTTGCGCGACTGAACCCTTAAAAAAAAGAAAGTAGGACCCCGTCCGGGCCTCCAGTGTCGGGCAGTCCACCTCGATCTTACCTGTCACCCAGGCCTCCTGCAGCCTGGAACGTTCTAACACAACCTTTGACACCTAAGCAGTGTGTTGGATGCGAGGCACTGAAGTAAGACCTTTGACCTGGATGGTCTTTCATCCTAGAACAGTGCCTTTTCGTGGATGGTGATTGCGTTTTACAGAATAGTGAACCGAGGTGAACTGAGTTGCCCAAAACCTTACAGGCACGACAGAAGACATCACACGCAGGCAGAATCCTTCTTACCTAACGAGACTCCCGGGGGACTTATCTGAAATACTAATGATTAGACTTAAGTGTTCGGAACGACAGAGCGACAGACCATAGCTTTCTGTGTCCCGAGGTTGCTTGAATTATTTTTCTTTTTGCAGTGTTTTAACTCAAATGGGTGATGAAAAGGACTCTTGGAAAGTGAAAACGTTAGATGAAATTCTCCAGGAAAAGAAACGAAGGAAAGAACAAGAGGAGAAAGCAGAGATAAAACGCTTAAAAAATGTAAGCTA